GGATGGTCGGAGACTACGACTGATTTAAAAGCTTCCACGTCTGCAATACTCATACTGTCAATAGAAATCAATTCCAGCGATTCTATCGACGAATGCTGATGTGCTCGTTTCGAAAAGAAAGCATAAGCTAGCCACTTCCACTTGTATGCACTGCTGCCAGGATTGTCACACTTTATGTGCAAAAACATCGACACAGTCTTCGTAGTTTGGCAAGTCGCCAATGCCGAACAAATCGCCTCCAATTCGTTCGGATCGGCACGGGCGTCTAAATTCAGACCAACGTCACCGAGCTGTAGTGGCAACAAAGTGCTTTTCGATTTGCTATCCAAGTGATAGCTTGTATTTGCCAACTCAAGGGGGCGGTGTATACTACCGAAAATATTTTTCATGTACTCGCCAAATACCTTCTTCGCAGATCTCGCGTTTGTGCGAAGGTGGCGTACCGCACACACCCACAAGGACACTTGTGAGAACCACACACCATCCAGCACCAGTGCATTGACCAGTGTAGCCATATCAGCTGTAATTTGCGAGTCTCCCAGATCTAAAACCATCGGCTCCAAGACAAAAGTGCAACGTAGCGATTCCGATTGAACACCACTACTATTCATCCACCATAGCTCTTTAATTGCAGTTTCAGCGATCTAAATGTCTTTCAGTGGCTTCATATCTCCACTAATTGTTGCCAAATCGCTGACGATAGCAGAACAATACATTTTCACTGGAACTTTTACATCCACCGCAGTTTTGACCCCAGTCACTGCTGCAATCTTCTGCAAAGTTCCTAGATATTCCTCGCTGGCGTCTGCGTACTGAACAGGTCCAAACCATTGGATCAGATCTTCTTTCAGTTTGTTAGAAAACGTGTTCTTGCTTTTCCCGCGGAACATGTTGAGCTGGAATCGAACGGGGATATCCTCCTCGTAAGATTGTTCTCCCTCCACCCCCAGGCCCACTTCACAATGCCATTCCAGCAAATATCTCCACCCAGCTTACCGAAGCGCCCCACAGCTACCAACAGAGCCAGAGATTCTTGAAATTCTCGAAGCTCTATCTGAAATTTCTCGTTCCTTGTTCCTGCTTAATTGTCGCTCCACGACTTCGTTCATGCATCGCGCAGGGGGATACACCTCGAGGATGCGCTTGGACTCTAGCTGCATTAGTCCCTCAGTTTCTGACCAGCGGTAGATGATGCGGCGGCGTCAGTTATCCGTAATGGAGACAGGAATTTCCAGCGCTGCTCCATAGGTACAGCCATATCTACTGTGTGTGCAGCCTATTTATTTTTTT